CAAAGGCCACGTAATTCACATAATCTATTAAAAAGAAACACACCTCAAAACCCACAAGTCGGAAAGAAAATCAACCATTACAATAATTTTCTGTACCTGCTTTGTTGTCTGTGCATTACTTCATTTACATGAAAGTGGGACCAGATTCAAACACAAAAGGAGTCACAGTTTGGCTCCCAATTTTGTGGGTGATTAAACAAAGTGAAGCATTTCAGAAGTAGTCCTTTGTTCGTCTTCAAACTGTTTATCAAAGCAGGTCTCCACACTGTCTCGTAAACCTTTCTTTTTACTCTCCACGCAATTCTTCTGTAGCACATTACCCCGGACACTTGTCTGGAACCACTGCACCCTGCTGCTGCAAACTACTCACCATTCTTTTGTGCAGTGCTCACTGCACTGAGTGGTGAATATGTGCAGATGCTGCATCAGGACAGACTGTAAGACCATTCTATCTTCCACAATATAAGTCAGAAATTAGGATACACCTATTTTAAAAGGAAAAAAAGTATGAACAACAGTATTCTGACTTTTAATAATTGTGTATTAGTTCAGTGACAAATAAGTGGATTTCTTGTCACAGCCTAACAACATTACAATGAATCAATTGTCAAAGCAGATTCATCTGTATTATGTTTATTCTGACAAGGGGACAGTGTGAGGGAGCAGCAGACCCTTGACTGCAGTCTTACTTGGTCTGATTTATTCATTCGTAATCATTTCTCTTTGGTTAGGGAGGCAAAATCAACTCTAAAACTGAATGTTTCACTGCCATTTATTTACATGCAGCCAATTCTGTAGCTTTAGGCAACAATTCTTCTTTATGACCTTAACTGTGACCTTTGTTTCGTCTATGATCATGACTTAATTGCTTCAACTCTCTTGTTTCAGTAAGTGCCTCTCGTGCTATCTCGTGCCTTGACAACATCATGCACTGTCCAGATAACAATGTCCACAGCTGGGCCTTTGTTGTCGGAGCGGGTGTAGTGGAGAGATACTGTGACACATACTGCCGACCTGCTCCCCGCTACTACTCCCTTTAGTTTAACTGCTTGTCATGGTGTCACAGCCTTCATGGTTTCACTCTTAGCATCACAGAAAGAGCTTAGGCCTGGTGCCCAGAGGTGACACAGGGAAAAGTGAAGCCAACAGACTGTTGGTTCAGTTGTTGGCCAGGAATGAGGAAGACTCAATCCAGCCAAGAGACAGAGGGGTGATGCTGCTAGGAAGAACAAAACAACGGGAGGAGACAATGCTGAAGTTATTACTGATAAGACACAGAAGCTAAACATTCATCATGTGCTTACATCTGTGTTAGAGCAGACAGAAAACCCAGGCTCTGGATGACACGGTCACTTCTATGAGACTATGTTTCACAGAAGCACAGAGACAATTATAGCATTATTTGCTCTCAAATCTTATCCATGGGCTGCTGTGAGCGGTTGCAGGGCTTCCACCACATGTTTTGTCTATACTCAGTCATTTCCTTTCTCAGTTTTCCATTTGCTATGAGGGAAAAACTGTGTTTGCTCTTCACGGGGGGTGGAGGGGCAGCAGAGCAGCTGCAGATGCCATGAACACTAGAGTAAAAAAAAAAAAACTGAAATTTGAAAACAATTACACTTAAACTTGATCATTTAGTGAGCATCATTTTCATCCATCCATGGGAAATACTGCATTGAGAAGTTCATACAGGTATAAACACCATACTAATGGTCCTTTGAATGGTATAAAATGTGTTTTCAAACATGCATCTTGACCTGGGGTGTTCTTCATTGTGCCTGACAACTGATCTATTTCTGCAATTTTTATTGTCTTCTCTCCAAGATAGATGGAGATTCATGGGAGGAAGAAAACAACTGGTTCTGCTCAGAGCTGAGAGACTGATTTTGATAAATATTTGTAGGAAATGCATTCTTTCCAAAGCTGCAGTGTCTTCCAGTAAGACAACTGGTCACAGTGCAAGTGAAAACATTTGTCACACACTTCACAAAAACCTGTCATTAAAAAGTCAGTTAATCTGAGATGTTTAGACTCTCTCACGGTCACCTCTCAAAACTACCACAGATTGAAAACAGTTGTTCCTGCACTGTGTGACATTTACTGTTATGGTGGGTGAGAACATTCTAGGTCCATTAAGCAGCAGATGAGTCAAAGATAAGCAAAGTAATTTGTCACAGCTCATAACAATGCAATCACACAAAGAAACGATTGGGCCTATTAACGTGTCTTGGTGCCAGATCTGTGTGAAATGAGAAAGTAAGAACCACTGAAAATCATCTCATATTAAAGGTTGAAACATTTTTTCATTAATTATTATAATCACAAATCTCATTACAGAAGTACTAGACATCATCACTGGGAGAGTTTCCCGCATACATTCAGCTTTGACCAAAAACCATCCCCCATGCAATGAAACGATCAAATGGTTCCCGTCAATGTAGGGAATTGAAAAAGTGTCAATTGACTCCACCTTATTTACTAGATGTCTATTTTATTACGTCAAACTGGAGCTGCGCCATGAAGGCACCTTTGCTGTTAATCTTTCCATACACTGTGTTAACTGCATAATTAACTATTGTTCCATTCTAGGGGTACACCGATCAATCGGCCCACTGGTCGATTTCCTTAATTTGGCAGGATCAGCAATCAGCTGATTTTATGTGAAACCAATCGTATCTAGCAATCTGATTTACCTTTGCAAATGGTCTAGATTTCAGCACCTGTCACCTTGTGCTCTGCAGTGAGAGAGGGGTAACTGACTGACCTTCAATATTTGTGAATACTGTCAATTGAAAAAGAAAATGGAATTGGCCCCAAAATTGCAATCAGTGCAGTTGTCTGCTTAAAACAGAAAATAAAATTCCAACAAGTGAACTTTCTGGAAGCACAGTATGAGGTAAGTCAACATACAGCGCCAAGTCAACTGTGTTTACAGTGTGAGGAACCAATCGATTTGATCCAACATTTTCTCCGCCAATATTTCCCACAGGTGAGATGCTGTAGATTCATGCTTTTATTTATTCAACTTTTTCGTAAGTTCTTCGCAGCCACTAATAAGCACATTATTGAAGCTCATCTGAACAGACTCACAAACTCTTGATGAAGAGCTTACACAAAGAAAACTTAGGAAAAGACCTGAAAAGACCTAGATGTTAATGTACAGGACTAAAGAGACAGGTAATATTAGGTAACTGAAAACAGACTTAGCTCAACACACTAACAATAAGTAATACCAGTAAAACGTTAAAGGCTCTAAAAAAAAACAATGGACAACAGCATCCTACATGCAGCTAAATCAATCGCTGTTTGTTCTATTAAACATTACATAAACATTACTAGTGTAATCTGCTTCAAATACCCGCACATCCAAAAAAAAGCAGTGCAATACTTATTAGTCAATAACTTCTTTCTGCCCCTCGTGTAATTTCTCTTTCATGCAACTTCTGTTGCATTACTCATGACATCTCGCTTTTTTCTACATTAATTTTTAAGCTCAAGAGTCAGAAAAACAGCAAATTCCTAGTATGTTCTTTCATACTTGGGAAAACAAAGCTAATGGTGATTCTGACTTGGTTGAGAGGGGTCTACTGTAGTGACGGAAAGATGTCACCGGCTAACTGAAAGGACGTTAAATTATTGTCGAACAGACTTTCTGAAATCCACTCAGGAGACCTTCTGATTTTAACAAACTTTAACCCTTTATTTTTGCTGCACACTACGAGTTGGTGAAAAGTTCTAAATCCCTTATGTTCATTCCTAAGTTCTGTGTATAACAGAGTTTTATAGCTTGAATACGTTTCCTATCAATAAAAATAGATTTGACATATCTTAGAAAAATAAATAAACGCAGTAACTTAGCAAATTGGTGTCATTTTGTCCTGCACTATCCGGTGACTTTTATTCAACTTTGACCAACTTTTTATAGCTTGGAGGTAGTTACCTAATGATGCAAGATAAAGAAAAAAAAAAGGTTTCTGTAATACAGGCCTAGCAGTGACTTCCACATACCTGTCATGCTGAGCGATCCTTGTTCTCTACTCTGTCATATCTTTGGTTACTTTTACAGAGGGTGTGTCTGCAGACTAGGTGTGTCATGCATGCAACACACAGTGGTATAACCTTTGAAAGAGCATATCTGGTAAAGGAGATACAGGTTTTTGCATTTTCCCTTTAAAAAAAAATCACTTTTAATGTGCAAAAATGACAATTAAAGCTCAGGGTATGTGAGTAAAAACACTATGAGGAGATTCTAAATTACTAACAAGCTCTGTGGCATTTGACAGCAGTCACCATTCTACAGTGCTTTTCTGTTGATTGGTAAAAAAGATAAGTAGTATAATTTTGATAGCCATTTCTGAGGCAGGATGTAAAATAGACTTTTAGCAGATGATGTATGCATGAAATGTTTGGATATCTTTGAAAAATATTAACATGATTTTTGATAGAAATCTGAGATATTTCAGGGCTTATAATTCTTTTCATAAAAAAAGATTTTGATCATTATTCGCACTTTGAACTGAAAACTTCCGGTGAGTATTTATGCATATTTAACATGGCCAGTGGCGTTTTTCTCTCAAGAGAGAGAGTACAGTGTTATTCATATTAACAATGTGAAAAATACCCAGACAAAATATGTGCAGACCTGCCACAGCAGCCAGCGCGAAAAGGCCTGTGTGAATTGGTGCTTTATTCATTTTACATACAAGTGTGAATTATTTTCACCCACGTGTGTTAGGTACTCAACTCTGGGCAAATAAAACCACACAAAGTGCGCTGTTAAATACGCAACAAGCAAATACAAGCGCAGAAAACGAAGGGTTTCCAATGCACAATGTCTATTTATCGAACCACATCTGCGCGGACAAAGAGCCGGCGTCAAAGCACGAAAAGTGACACAAAAGGCTTTCAATATTATTCTAACACTCAATGGTCATTGTGTCAAAATAAAGTATGGCTTTAAAATTCAAAGTATGACTTTAAAACTTGATTGTGGGTCTTACCTTAGTGTTCACTCCAGAGAGAATGGACAGACCGCGACACACGCACAAACGTTAGCAGCACAGACTCAAAACAGCGACAAACAACAGCCACGACAGGAGCCGTTAAATCCGCATTTTAGTTCTGCTTAAATTGTATCGTTTTTATTTCTTTTTGTATATACAAATTGCATCTGGACATAGCAGAAAGTGAGTCTAGACTTGTCCTCGCTTGTTTTTCTGTCGCAGGCTCAGTGCCTCCACCTCAACCATTCTCTCACTCACACAGTAATCATGGAGCAAAGCACATCCGGTTTCTTATTTTCAAAATAAAACCACCATACGTATACTAAGTATACCACATTATCTCTATGGTATGTTCTGTATATTTGCGTATAAGCAAAACTAGTCTAATCATAAGGGTGTTATGTGAAAATTTAAGTTAGTTTAAATATATATACACAGTATAGTTCTACTAGTTCATTAGTTAAATAATTCAATTAAATAAACAGTTACTGTAGCTATACAGGCAGTTCCGGCAGATATAATAGTGTATGGTTTGTATTACGATCAGATGTATACAAGCTTTATTACTATTGTTACTATACATACATAATATTATATATGATAGGTATTAGTAATATAATTATACACAGTATTAGTTATACATGTGTGATGTGTCCTGATTTAGTGATTAAGTATTTATTCCTTAAATGCTGCATTTTGTGTAAAAAAAGCACGATTAAAGGTATTTACGCTATTTAAGATAACATTAAAAGGTTTATAATTGGCTGCGCTCCAATGCTTGATGAGACAAAGTTTAATTAATGAGATAACAGTGACATGTATTGATTTTTCCAAAACTTTAAATGACCAAGATCTTGATCTAATCTGGGTATTAAAATGGGAATTGTCATTTTTAATCTGAATAAAACTAGTTTTGAATCAAAGTCACGTGGTTTCCGGTATGATTTCGTTATTTTCTTCTAGCTTGATCGCCGGTCTGGTTGGTGACGACATCAACACGGGGATTACTTACAGGACAACTATGGAGAGAAATGTGACAGATTTAAGAGGGTTTGGCGCCCCCTCCCGCCAAAAATAAGTAGTACGGAAAATCAAAGCTATTTTGAGTTTATATAAAAAGTTGTCTTTTTATATAACGCGATTTTATCGTTACACATTCAATCAAATTGGGATGCCACACTTTTTTATTATTATAAACACTTATTATTAACATAGTTAATTTTTAATTTATATGATTTTTTTACAAATAATAAATAAATCTCTATTTTAATAGCCCATATTAATTATTTTATTTTACAAACAGCAAATAAGCTAAGGCAAAAACAAAGATTATCATGTAACAACAAAATTAAGGATTGAGCTCAAGATCTGGCAACTTCGGAAGGTAAATAATCTGAAAGCTCTGGACTAATGTGCAGTAATTAGTTTTACTCAATCTAGACAACATACAGCATCTGTCTAATAAGTTGTTCGGATAATTTAAAGATTAATTCAATTTTCTGGACTGCGATAAAAATACAACTGAAAGTATGTAGGTCTGTCTAGTCACGTGCTCTTGGAGTTTCACGTCACCGTCAGGGGGCAGATCATCCCTAGAAGAGGAGCTCGAACACTGTCTCTCTTGTCATACAGTACAGCCATGTCACACAACGATCAGCTTTTCATTACCGTAATGTCAGGAAGTTACAGTACCGAGCCTCTGCTGACTCTCATTCAAGCCTCACAATGACGTTCATACACTGACAAATCCGTCTGATAATGAAGCCATCAGGAGGAGAACGTTACTGTAGGCACATGCTCACATTTTTAACATCCACCTTTTCCCCCCTTCACGACGGCCCATTGGAGCCCATGCAGTCGACAGGATGGTAATAATTGGAAAGTAGTGAGACACACGTTGACATTCAAAGAAAAACAATTTTATATGTGATTCGATTTTATGGTTTTAAGTAAGTAAATTGAAAGCAAAACAATTAGTTTCCAAATTTAGAACAAAATACTACGATTGTCAGGTCAGTAGTGAGTGACATTAACATGGTTGGAGACATAAGTGAAGACAAGTCAGATAAAGCTAATTGGAGTCCAAATTCATACATTTGCCTCAGTAGAATTAATAAAATTACCTTGCACTAATGAACAAATGGAGTAATGGAAATAAAGTCAATATTATATTGAAATTGTTCAAGGAAGACTAAATATCCTACAGTACTCTGTTATTTTTGGAAATTGTTTATGATCATTTAAAGAACCCGAGAACCACAAAAGCAGATCGGTGGTGTTCTGAGTCCAGGAGCCATATGTTGTATAAGGGAGGTGATTAAGAGCTACTGGCCAAGTGCAAAATAACTGGGATGTCTCTTGGTCTCATCTGTCTCTCTAAGGAGATTCCAATTCATTGATCAGAGTTGTTATTGCTCTGTCACTATGACCATGATGTCTTCCCTCTCACTTTCACGCCCTCTTATATTCTGAGCCTGACCACTGAGATCCAAGCTGGGCTACAGTTACAGCACTGATGAAACTGAATGTTTATTTTGGCAGCTAGGCGTTGGTCTTTTACATCCACCTGACTGGAAGTGATGATGTACGTGATGAAACAGCGGCTCCTCTGCTATGCTACCCCACAGCTCGCACAAATGCTAACATGTGGATGTCAATACGTGAAGATGAAGCGCGTGTGGAAGTGTTGGGTCGAGTGTTTTATCTGTCGTAGAATTCCCGTCATTACGGTCAATCTCAATTGCCAAAAAGAGGAAATCACAATTTTTAAAGAACTGGATCATAATAGTTTATGTTCTTCTGGATGACTACTGTACCTCACACCCAGGAGGTTTGTGTACTCTATTAAAACTGGTGACTATGGTCACCACTGAGTGCCTGCCACTGTTAGAGCATTTGGGCCCCACACAGCTGTCAACCACACCTACAGCTTACAATCTTTCCTCTCGCCCACAGTTTTTTTGAATATGTATTATGAGATACAGGGACCTGGTACTCGCTGCTAAAGTACTACCCTGACAGCTGCCCTTGCTTTGCAGCAGACAGAATTAGCAGGATGAAGGCAGGCAGAGACAGAGGGACTCAGTTGTTGTCCAGATGAGTGAGGTCAGATGAGACTGTACCAGTCTGTCGTTGAACGGGACACACGGACCAACACGAGCAAAATAACACACTTACTAATAGAGGGAACTTTCACGGAAACTCATTTAGAAGAGCCGGCGTTATTGCTAAGCCTCTATCCCAGGGTAAGAGGATGGTAATTAACTTGTAGGGGAACATGCACACAACCATACCACTTGCTAAATTATATAATTATAATAGATTAGTTAGTTAACAATTAAAGTCGTACATAATGCACAACTTTCCCATGATAACGTTGACTTCTGTTATTTCCGGATCCTCGTTTGGATCAACAGTTCTCGTGGCCTGCGTCAGACTGTTTGATTTTGGGTCTCATGCTACCAGTCAGAAAGTTCCAAACATGGGAAATTTACAGCCACTTCAGAATCGGATCAACCGCCTCTGTCACTGCAAAAGCAGCAAACAGGAAAAGGAAACTTTGGCGTATAAATAAAGTGTTCCACTGACGGTGGGGTTTTAAACATGCCACTGGTCTCTGCAGGGATTTGGCAGCCATGGAACACAACACCGGCCTCAATGACTGAAGCTTTGCTGTGTCTATGTGTGTATATAGACCCACATTAGTGCAACGGCACTCAGTCAAGGAAGAGGGAAAAGGGGGGAAGGATGGGAGGTGAGGGGGTGTTTATTCATTTGATACAAGGTGACAAGGCTGCAACAAATTTGGGAACACTTTAATTTGGAGGAAAAATTGTGGAAATTCATCTTTCAGTAAAGCAGTTGAAATTATATAGGACAAAAACAGGCTTTCATTTACTCCTTATTCCCATTAAAGGTCTTTTTATAATTGGACACATTTTATTTGCTTTATATGAATTGGAATTCTATACTAGGTTGTTCATCCATGTATGTTGAGAAGACTTCATTAAGCCATGGTCAAGTACAGGAGTGTCCAACATATGGCCCGTGGGCCTTATGTTTTTATTTATTGCACTTACTCCCATACTCACCAGTTATTTCTTCACTCTTCTCGTCCCCAGTGAAGAGTTGAACAGTTCTTGACTCTTTATCTTGTAACCAGAAGAAATGGATATGGAGTCTTCTGGTCCATTACACTACTACAGTATATTCTTAGAGTAAAGAGAACCAATAAGAAAGCTTGAGTTACAACACTGTTGATGGTAAGACTCCTTTTTTACAACACTGTTGATGGTAAGACTCCTAAATGAACCACTGCAATAGAAGAAACTCAATCCACCTTTTTATTTTGGTAATTAAACACAGAGACAGTTGGAGACCAATGGTGACGTTTGTGGCTCGTCTGTGAACAGAGGGGGATTTTTTTTCTTCTTTTTACTGCTAACAAACTAAATTAATGTAATTCTTTTACAAAGCATAACACAATTCCAATCATTCATTAACTGCTGAGATTTAATCTGTAGACTTTCTACAAATTTCCTGTGGTCAACGCTCATGTGTGTCACAGCGAATGATACTAATCTGGACTGGACAGCCTTTGTATTTAAAGTATATCTTTTAAAATGAAAACAGCTTCAATTTTAAATATTACAAATGATAAGTTCTTGTCTTTGTGGCGCAATCGGTTAGCGCGTTCACCTGTAAACCGATAGATGGCTGGTGTGGGGTCATCCAGCGCCTACAACCACAAAATTGCGGTACCATAGTGTGGCGGTTATCACACCTGCCTTACATGCAGAGAGGCCTGGGTTCAACTCCCAGAGGAACCACATACTTAATGGCCTTCCTCACAACCCATTAGGAAAACTAATGAGAGCGACCATTAAATCAAACACAAATGTCCAACAGTTCAGCACTGTATGGTTGGTAACACCCAGTAGTCCATGAGACTCGCACTGGACACTTGATAAGCTGCAAGTACACTTTCTGGCCACTGTGGAAGCTCAAAATGAGTCTGTCCCACATCATCAGTTCTAATTATCCAGTTGAGACCCCTATCATTGACAGCGCACATTCTTCAAAATTAGTTGCTGGTATCTATTTCGGCCACTTTGATTGGCAGTGCACTGAAGTTCGTCCAGAAGATCATATGAGTCTTGGGTGACTCAGAGAAATCCCAGTCCCACTGATTACTGCGGTATAAATGATTAACAGTTCTCTGGTGATGATAGGGTCTGCCCGGCTTGACCTTTACACATGGCTGTATTTGCAACAGAAGTAAGCAGGGGGCTTTAGCATCACGATAGCTGTGCGCCGTGCCCAGACAGCTGCACCTTTATCCGCTGGCCTCAGCAGCTGAGTGGGAGGCCCCGAAACTGGGGAGGGGTGGGTGAATAAGTGTCAGCTGAAGGTGAGGGGCAAGGAAAGGAAAGGGAAGAGACGGGGGGTAACGACTAAAAGCATTACTTGGACTGTGTTTCATCTGGTCGTAAAACAGATTTGCCTCTTGAGGTATACGTTATACCACAGGCCTGAAATTAAGTGGAGATTTTGCTCAATATCTGCTTATAAAAATGCTACTCTCACAAAGCCTCTAATTTTAAATTTTTACATACACACACAAGAAAAATATATATACATATATAAATATATATATAGCATACCTTACACGTACACTACGTAACTTTCATAAACTTAGAATTAAACTTACGTATTTTTTTTACTTTAGGATGGTACATATTGTGGATGTACTGCGATCATACATGCATGCCAAATCACTCACACAGGCACCACGCTCATATATATTGACTCACTACCATCCTTAGCACTCACTTTCTTAGGACTCATCACTATTATGAACAATAATGCACGTGAAGTGAACAAGTGAGGCAGCGTGGGCTGCTCCCAGTGCTCGGCTTGCTCGTATTTTGAAATACCCTTATGTCGAGACGCTCATATCTCGATGTTCCACTGTAGTAGATTTACCTTCCTGTTTTCTGGCCATTATATTGGAGGCAAACAACAACAAATGTCACAAACAAAAAGCACATGGCCTTCGTTCTGGATCTTTTCCATTCTACATTCTGGAGGTTGTTCTCCGTGTTGTACTAGGCAAGCTGCCCAAAAAACATGAAGAATGTGGTCTACTATAGAGGACAAGTTTGTCTCGTCAAACATAGGGCTAAAAGACGGCAACTTCTGGTTCCAACTGGATTTCACGTGGTAACACATTCTGAATTTCATATTCAAAATGCCCACATGTTTTTACAGGCCAAAAAAGGTCCCCACATTCTATAGAGCAGATGTTGATCAGACACTTTGGTCTGGTCTAATGTGGAGCCAAGAATGTTGGTGCTGTCACCACCCTATTGGAGGTCTGCTCAACTGTACGCAATTAAAAACGGAGGTCGTCAGACTGTCCTGAGGTTGACTGCAGTTTTTAGTCTACAACAGTTCTGGATGGGAGTTGTTTTTATTTAGGGATGTTTAAAGGGCCAGATTTGGGCAAAGTACGGCTCGTGGCCCAGATATTGCCCGTCAGCCTTTGTAATTCGGCCCGCCAAACACTGATACAGGATATGGTACAGACGGGTGTCAATCCAACTGTAATGACTCTTGATGCCACCAAATGTGTCGAACCTCAGTCTGGCCCATGAGCCAAAACATCTGGCCACCAGTAATCCCTGCAGCAATGTGTGTAAAGACAATATATAAGCCACTATGTCTGTGAAATACAGTACAATATATTGGGACCACACCCTGATTTACCAATGCGTGGTTAGACTTTCTTGGCTGTTTCAGTATTTTCTTGTTGAGTTACTAACTCTGACATTCTGGACCTTTAACACTTATCATGCTACTTCTACATAATGCAATTGAATGTATAGATTGCCCAGAGAGGGACAGTAAACACTGAGTGACTGCCACTGACAGTACATGAGTCTCTCACGTGGTTGCGACCAGTTTGTTTTATTACCAAAAGCCAAGTGGACACATGAATGTTTGGTACAGTCCCACTAATTCAATCTGGTTCGGGGTCTTGTTGTGTTGAAGCAGGACAACAACCTCTTCTGTCTGGATACTGTCACCTGACTTCAATTTGTCATGGCAGCCCAGCTGACTCAGCTTCCTGTTTGTCCCAGCGGACTGTTTTAACTTGGTTTTCAGTTATTTATTGGGGAGCTTCAACACGTCAAAGGTTTGCCTGAAATTCAAGGAGCTACAGATTTGAATAAATGCTGGAGACAGTTTTTAATGATTAATGATGTTTTGAATGAAAGTGTTCTCCAGCAGAGTTTTAATTCCTGAAGCAGAATTCAGTTTGTTTGTTTTTTTTTTACTAAACTTTCTTGATATGGTTAAGTAAAAAAAAATAGCTTTTTTATGTTTTGCATTTTTCTATCTTTATGAAAAAAGTTTGTCACTTCTGCTGTAAATGCACTTCAGCTAAGGCTAGCCCACATAGCAACATCACTATATTATTAGGCCGATGCCTTTTAACACATTATAAAATTACACTGATCTCTGCACTGACTCTCTGATCTGCCCCTAGAATGAACTAGGTCTACATACTGAATCAATTACTGTAGGTATTTAAACTGAATAAAGGGTTAATCAGGTTAATATTTTGTATTTTGCAATATTATTTCACTAGTTATTTTAGGATTCACACATCTCAGACTACATCTGTGTTTACATGAACACCATTTCTCTATTAGTAATCAGTCGTAATGTGCCAATTTACATTGGTTGTGAATGTGCAAAATTATAGGCTCCGTTAAACTTAATGTAAATGTTTTAGTTGAGCTGGTTTTGGTTATTATTAACAATAGGGATCTGGTCTGGCTGTACAAATGAATGAGAGTCAGTGCAGAGTCCTTAAAAGAACAGCAGTATGAATATGTGCGCAAGTAAAGGCAGAGATAGCAAGACAGAGTGTGAGAGAGATAATCTTAATGGGACACTGATGACGCATTTTCTGACTGGACGGTGTCCAGGAACCACCAGGTCAGGGAAACCTGTTGCAGAGCATGGGGTTGCAGAAAATAGTGCAAGAATCTTCTTAGAAACCAAGTGGGTATCCGTCGCTGCCAGGCCTACAGTAGATACCATATCCAACACTCGCTGGCTGTTTGGGAATGAATGTGTAATTCCCTGGAGGAGGAGGAATATTGGGAAGTAGAGACAGATGAGACACATGAGCACGACTGAATTTCACAGTAGGAATGATCTTTGACCCTTAGCATGTTTTCCATCTGTTTGAAAGGCCATTGGAATATTGAGGTATTATGTAACAGAGTACGTGCATGCAGAGTGTTACGGTAATACTGTCAGACTATTTGTAAGACGCAGTCAGTGCAGTGGGGTTGCACATATTAGAAATGGAAAAAGACGAAGATGTAACTCAGTAACGAGGTGTATGAAAAAGGTCAAAAAAAAGGTCTCTAGGAGACACGTCGAGTCTGAACCAGTTTAATGTTTACAAAAATTCACAGTACAACTTTTTTAGCTTTGAGATCCCATTTGAAGGAAAATAGATGTCAATGTATGAAGGTGAGAACATCAACATTATTCACTCAGTAACTTGCTGACATCTGATGATGTATGTTTACATCACGATGATTTTATATATTGCTTAAATATTTTATAATTATAATAAATATCTCTCTTTTTACTTTTATTGACATATCTGCAGCAAGTTTGTGATGCTAACGTGTCAAAATGGATCGCCATCTGTGAAACTCCGAATTGAATGTATTGAAGATAAAAAAAAAAAGACTGGTCCGTTTCTAGAATTGACTGTAGGCTCAGGCTATTTCTTAGTGACACTCTTGTTTGACACATTATCTCTAATAAAAAAAAATAGATCAAAACAGAAATGCAGGGATATACTGCTGTGAATAAAGAACAACAGAGTGGCCTTAAAAGGCCACACGGCCACTCTGTGACTGGTCAAGTGAGTGAATGGTAGGGGAGGTGGGGGGGGGGGGGGGTAATCTCTGTGAAGCACCACTGTATTTATAGAGCTTTTAAAAAAAGATTTTCTGTTCCCCTGGTACCACTCCCTCAATGGCACCGCCCCTGTTTTCAATTAGCCCACGATGGGTGGAGTAATGCAATCAGGAGTAACTTCAGCTCAACACAGGCTCCTACCCTCAGTCTGACACAGACTCCGCACAGGCACACACTCCTCAAACAGGAAGGTAAGACCCAACTTTGTTTCCATCCATTCACTCCTCCATTTGTCCCCCCTCCATTCATCCTCATCACTGGTCTTCATTTACCATTCCCCTCCATCTCCTGGTCCACAGCTGCATCCTCTTGTACGTCTTCCCATCACCTGCACAGCTCTCCCCTCTCTCCTCTCTCTCCCCTCTCTCCATCGTCACCAGCGTCCTTTATTGTTTCACCACCTCGACTTCAGCTTCATCTTCTCAGATACTCCCTGACTTCCCCTGTCATCAAACCATTTTCATTTCTATTTCGGGTCAGCAAAAAAAATGCACGGCCCTCGTCAACCCCGGATCACTTTCCCTCCCTCTTCATCAGCTTCACACTTCTCTGCAGCTAAACTGTTTATGAAGACATTGGTTCAACATGAGGTGATGCAGAAACTATGGCAGATTTGGCTGTTCTTTTCCAAATGTACTGTAAAAAAATGATTCCCAGCCAAAGGAAAGGACCTAATATGAATTTTTTGGTTGTCTTTCGGTTGGGAAGAGTAGTTGATCTCACAAATACGTTCTGTAAAATCCGTACACTAATGTACAGCTTTAAAACATCTTGATGTAGAGCTGAAATTGAATCTTATTCCAATTTAATTACTGTCATGTTCCTAGAGTTAATGACTTTAACTCTGTTTTTAAAGGAACGGAACTTTTACTGGAACTTACCATGTAACTGGCTGCAGATAAACTGCGAGGAATTACCGCCGGGGTAGAATCAAAGCGACTGAGAAACAGCTGCACAGTATATCTAAGTGGATAGAGGTTTCATTTGTGGCAGGTTGAGATTATCTTTTTTTATTTTTAGGAGTCAGATAAGTCCTTATATAAACGAGGTGAGTCATTGTGGGGGCATCAGACAATGAAGGGAATGTGGGATGGCTAAAGGAGGCTCGGAGCAGAGGGGTGAGGGCAAGATTAAACGTCTTAACTTTGAGCAGGGAGCAGATAATAACTCTGTGGACATGAGCAACATCACATAACACTCAACGTTGAACCAGGAAGGAATCACAAATAGATCAAAGTAGTCTTAGCACTATGTAACAGATAATTTAATCTAATCCAGACAAAACCCAATGTATTTATAAACCTCACCAGAAAACAAAGCGAGTTCGAGTAAAAATACATACAACTGATCTTTTGGAACTGATCAGTGGAAAATATAACTGAGTAGGTCAGGATGATTAGATGGAGCCAAACCACAAAATCAGACATTTGCCCACAGGGGTGTATGACTTACCCAGGAGTCAACTTCTGATTCAGGTACCAATGCTTCAGTATTAAGATTAAAAAAGCCAAAGAAATTTACATGACACCATGAGAAGAAAGCCTTACATTAAGAATCTGAACCCAAATAATTCTTTCAATTCTTGCCTTAACATACAGTACATAACTGAGGCACCACTGCATAACTAATTTGACTGATAAATTAAAGGCTCATTAGCATGTTTTATTCCCAAAAAGAATTAGGCTTTATTTGGTGTTTGTTTGAATAACCTAAGTTTCACAGTCATCTGTATAGAAGTGGAGTTGGAACCAAAAAAAGTAAAAATGAAATACAGATAGGTCAATGCAGCGCTGCACAGGAGTGAGGTTTGAGGGAACACCAGTACAAAGCTGCATCTTAAACACCAATTAGACGAATGATGGGAGGGCAGCCAAGAAATCCAATACCTTAAACCAGAAATCCAATAAAATGAGTAACGGGACTAATTCTCCCCATTTCCCTTCTCATATATATAGACATATAATAGTCACATGAGCTGCACGTGTAAGGGAAGGGAGACAAAAGGCCTGGGGTGGCGTTAACAGGAGAGCTGCACCGTTATTCCCCTTTGTTTCTCTGCTATGTGACTCCTAAATTCACACCCAGTCAAATATTTAGCCTCAACTATACTTGGTCAACATAGAGGGACGAGTATTCAGGCACCGCAGCTTGGATAACCAGAGGGCTTAGCAGCCAGACCACAGACAGCTGCAGATTGTGAGTAGTCATTATTTCAAGTGCCACTCAAACCCACTCACACACACACACACACACACACACAGACCAGGGTCACTGTGATCTGGCGATGACAGCTGGAGGTGAGGTGATGGATGCGTCAGAGTACAGTTGTGTGCAGGGTGTAGGAATGCATTGGGTCAAAAGTTAACTGTCTCTAAGCAGGACTGATAGAGGTGTTATTTATATCCTCCTTGTCTGTCAACCGCTGACCCAGACCAAAATAAAAGACTGTCCAGAGGTTTGGACAAGGAGATGAAAGCGTAAATAGAAAAGATGTTCGTACTGACTTTTATAGTGTAGCCTGATTTTTTTTCTTTTTTGACAGAATTATTTTGATGCAAGAAATTCTGGTAATGTAAATTCCTTGTCTTCATAAAGGAATGGAGAAAATATTTATCTGTCGCTTAATTTCTAGCGGGGGCAGACCTTAGGTCAAAATGACCGATCGCTACGATTGCCACTACTGCAAGGAATCCCTTTTTGGGAAAAAGTATGTCCTGAGAGAGGAGAATCCCTACTGTGTGAAATGCTATGAGAGCCTGTACTCCAACACCTGCGAGGAGTGCAAGAAGCCCATTGGCTGCAACACCAGGGTAGGAGAATTTACATTCGACATGACTAGATGTCACCGTTTCCGTTCATGTGTTACTGAAACTTGTCATTATGACCGTTCGTTAGGATCTGTCCTACAAGGACCGTCACTGGCACGAGGACTGTTTCAAGTGCTTCCAGTGCAAGCGCTCCCTGGTGGACAAGCCCTTCTCCACCAAGGATGAGCAGCTCCTCTGCACTGAGTGCTACTCCAATGAGTACTCCTCCAAGTGCCATTCCTGCAAGAAAACCATCATGCCTGGTAAGGCAGGACGTCCACATGTGATCTTGACCTTGTGTTATCTGGGAATCCACCCAGCTCACTTTATTCTTTAACCACCAGGCTCTAGGAAAATGGAGCACAAGGGCAACAGCTGGCACGAGACCTGTTTCACCTGCCAGAGGTGCCAGCAGCCCATCGGCACCAAAAGCTTCATCCCTAAGGACAGCAACAACTTCTGCGTGCCCTGCTATGAGAAGCAGTTTGCCATGCAGTGTGTTCACTGCAAGAAGGTTAGACTGCCGCTCTACGTTTCTAGATGTCGACAGGTGGTTTCACATTACAATCACCAGAAAACCACAAACAAATGTGTCATTTCCTCCATTTCAGCCAATCACCACTGGTGGCGTGACCTACCGTGACCAGCCTTGGCACAAGGACTGCTTCCTGTGCACCAGCTGCAAGCAGCAGCTGGCTGGCCAGAGGTTCACCTCAAGAGATGACTTTGCCTATTGCCTCAACTGCTTCTGCAACCTGTATGCTAAGAAGTGTGCTTCCTGCACTACGCCAATTAGTGGTAAAGACAGCAACTACACTGTATTTCTCAGTTGTAGGAGGAGTGTTTAGAAGATCAAAAGTAGACACTAGACTTATTTGAGATGCTTAAAGAACTTTCACCCATAGTCAAATACAGTTCTGTTTTGACTGACAGATGGGAAACTTCATATTTAGTTGTTAATTTGTTGCCATTTGTGTGGTTTTTGGAGTCTCTGTCAGTCTTATTAAGATTGATGAGTCGCCACTCTGGATCACACTTACGGTGGGTCACAGTGGAATCCTAAACTCACCACCTACTGTATTTTCCAGACTATAACTCGCACCTGAGTATCACCACCCAAAAAATGAATAATAAAGAAGAAAATAACATATAAGTCGCTCCGGAGTGCAGGTCGCACCAGTGCCCTCTAGTGGCTGTCAACGTGAAAATAATGAACATGTAAATTTTCAGTGGTACAGGAGTAGCACATACTGGTACACAAGACTAGAGTGCCCCCTAGCCTCTGACAGTGTGAAAATAAACGTGAAATTATGTTTTGAAATATAGAGTATAAGTCACAAACACAGCCAAAGGATGAAAAAAGTGCAACTTATAGTCCAGAAAATATGATAAATGTGACTGCCATTTTGAGTTACCTATGATTAAATTTCTTCTTCTTCTAAATTTCTGAGGATGGTATTGATCAAGATGACAGTGAACCTTCACAGACCTTTTCCTGATACAAAGTCTCAGGTTTATCTTGACATGACGTGAATTCATTTTTTCAGGTCTTGGCGGCAGCAAGTACATTTCCTTCGAGGAGCGCCAGTGGCACAATGACTGCTTCAACTGTAAGAAGTGCTCTGTGTCCCTGGTTGGACGTGGGTTCCTCACTGAGCGTGATGATATCTTATGCCCAGAATGCGGCAAGGATATCTGATTCAAGATTCCGAGTAAAGGACAAGAATCTTCGTCTGACCGACTACAAATACTTATACAAATACAAATACAAGTACAAGGCACAAGCAACGATTACTATCTTGGCAAAGATATTTAACATTGCTACAAATGTAAGATGGTTTTAATGACACCAAATTAAAAACTACTAACAGCATTATAGGAATTTATTCAAACTTAATATTAACTAAGTAACCATTAGTTGAATGTTGACTGAATAAAATCAATCAATAAAAAAATTAACTGTTGGCATGGATGTAATATCTGCTCATAAATCAACAACAAACACTGTTTGATGGATGCTTTTTGAAAATTATCAGCAGAATTTATTGCAGACTTTAAGGTAATAATTATAATGACTGCTTTGTGCATGGATTATTATAGGGTTTGAGGTTTGTGAATATGTCCTGCTTTAACTAAAGAAATGTCGACATTGATTAGTTACATATACAAATGTTTAATGTACTGTGGTTGTGCATGAAATTACTCTAATTAGTACAAAATAAACTTAAACCCAATATAGTTTATATCATAAATGTTATTTTAAAATATAAATAATATATGTATCTAGACAGTGTGTGACCCTCAAGGGTTTGTGCTGGCTGGTGGCTACATCTAAAACCTTTTAATGCCGCAAACTTGACGGTTAATTTCAAACTGCTTTATTGTTTGTTTATTTTTCAAAGGCAACGCAAAAATGTAATAAATTAAAGGATGTACTTAGTATATGTGATAATTTATTTACAAAAAGCAACTGTTTGTACTACAAATATAACACTTGGTTTGAGCATTCAAAGAATTTACAAACATTGGAAAAATGTGTTTGAGCAACATTATTAACAATTATCCACCACAGTTTCAAATAAACCCCGTTCAAAAAAAGACTTCATGTTTCCTAGGAATTTTTAAAGGACGACGCCAACTTCACAAATGCTTTGTTTTTTTCAATCCTACAAAAACCAGTGAAGTAAAAATAGTTTCAGCCAGACACACTTAAACCCATCCTGAACTAAGGGATTATTTACACAATGCAAACTTTAAAAGAAACATGCATGCGAAATAACACTGCTATTACAAATCACAAATCTGTGTAGCTTCTGTCTAAAATAAAATTAATCAAACCACAAAATTCAATTTTCAAAACTCAAGGCCTTATTGCATTTTAGTCACTACTGTCCAGTCACTATCACCGTGAAAATCAATCCTGTATCACGCATACTTTAAAGATGAGCAGTTGACTTGATGTTATTTTCCCCAATGGTAAAAACAAAAAATGCTTCCTGCCAAAGTATTCATCCCTAATGCTGAGACTCTCAATTTCAATAAAATTAAATAACATAAAAAGAAACCCTTGCCAGAAAAGTTAATACACTTTCTGAAAATGTAATGAAACCTAATATGTTACATAAGCTTTGTTTATTGTCAACTGTGACGTCAACTTGTCCTGTCTTGTAATGTAATTCATTTAAATGGTCTTCTAATGTCAGTTCACTCAAAACTTAAACTGAAACCCTGGACTTGTTTAGTTGAACACAACCCTGATATACTTGCAGGAACTAAAGAAAGACACACAAAGATCTTAACAGCTCTAAGTCTCTCTCTTTTTTATTTCTATAGCAATCTGCTGCCATCTAATGGGAGGGCTTTTAATTGCGCTGCCTGTCAAAGAAATTATTTGCACTAAATCAATAATGGTTTTCAAAACAATTAAACAGAATTTGATACTTTTCCAAGGCTCACCTGATGATCACTCACAGTGTTGCTAACCACTGGTGCATACACGGACCATGTCTGTTATTCTCCCAAAAAGAAAACAATAATGACTTATTAGAAGCATTGCAACTCCCGTCCTTTAATCCACACAAAGATAAAATTAAAGCCCATAGCATTATGCATTGGCCATCTGAGGTTATAGATAACTGATGTTAAGAGCACTTGAGGTTGGAGAGATGAACTGCTCCATCATATTGGCTCTGTGACCGAACAGAGAGCAGAGAGGTGGCTTTTACTCACAGGTAAGTGCTGAATGTTGTGTCTGAATGTTTAGACATACAGTATGAGGAGGAAAGGGAGTGAAGACTCTCAGTGACCAGAGACATGAGAGGAGCAATGTGTCCAAGGGTCAGGGCCACGTTACATGCTGGATTTTCTTCTTAACATCCGGAGATTTCACTGCAGCCTGGAAGATAAGAGATCAGAAGGAGATATTTTATTATGATTTTTACAGGGAATAAGTTTGTATAAAATGTAAGGTTTAACCTTGACCTGGTTTAACATCAGTTGTGGTTTGATTCAATATAAATTCTCATATGAGCCCCAGAAACAGCATAATTGACATTTACATGCTGCAAGACATTATTGTAGGAACAGCAGAAATAGCAGTTCTTACCGAGCTGATGGCTTCTTGTTTGACGTTTGCTGTGTCAGAGTTTAGATGTTCAGATGTGGAAGAGAAAGAGGAGAAAGAGGAAGAGCTTTCTGATAACCTGCGGATTGGGTTAGACTGGTTTCCAACTGGTGGAGGTTTTAACCTGTCGGTGATTCGTGTTGATGTGTTAGATTCCTCTACTTTCTTCACTTTTAGTGGACAGGAATGAGCGGAACTGCCATCAAAGACAATTTGCGGCCTTTTCCTACTGTTGTCATCACTGGACCAAAAAATTATAAAACAATGAATAATGAGAGTGATATAGTGTATGTGGTTCAATTTTCACCTATAAAAATACACATCTTAGCTAAAATACAACCAATACAAACAATGTTATTTGCACATAATGCAGGACAGAGTTTTTGATTATCCGATATGCCTCGGTTATTTGGCACTGTGCTCTTGTGACAACCATACAGAGCAGGTTTGGCACCATTGTCCTATCCTAGAGACCCCTGGCTCAAAGGATTGGGGATTTGTTAAACACAATAGAAGCTATCCATGTTTGCACCTGTAACTCTGCTTTTACATTTGAAAACGGCTAATAACAGTTGAAGAAAATTTACTTATTTAAAAAATATTTTGGGATTCTTGAGAGTCCAGTATCATAGAGATAACACTGTACCTGGGTGTCCGATGATTCGCTGTTGACCCTCGGCTCTTCGCCACTCTTCTACCCCAGCGGCTATTGGGCAAAGTCCGCTGCGGCAGAGGGATTACATGCCGAAGATAAAGCTCCGTCAGCCCGTCCCGACCCCCACACTCTGCGGTACGAACGTGTTTCTAAAACAAACACCAAAACAATGCCGTTAGCCCGCCATCAAACGTGTAATCGTTGCTGACTGAACACTTTACCAAGTAGTTAGCAATGCCGGTTTTATTAAATATTAATCAGAAATAAGCGCAGTTTTTACATAATCTACGTTTGTTACTCACCTCCTTTAAAACGAGCTTTAAAAAATCCTGAGACAACAACTCAGGGTGTAGTAATAAGTCGACATCAGAGGAAGAAATATCTTTCTGTTCTTTTCCCCTGGAAGCCGCCATATTGACGTTCTGGTGCTCCCAGCATACACCGCGCCTGGTCGTCATAACGTCTGGAACGTAAATTGTAAATATGAAAAAGTACCAAAAAGGATACGGATACAGTTCAATAAATGTTTATTTGGTGCTTATCTTTATAGTTTGTCTATTATTAAACATAAACATCCTGTAATTTCACTTTAAAATACTCCATTACTGGTTGTTGATGTCTGCATTTAACTACTGTAATGTTCAATTATTGCAACTGTGTTCAAGGTAAATGAGATTGTGTCTTGTCTTAGTCTACATATGATTTAATTGTTTGTACAAATGTAACCTCGTTAATTACCACTAAAACACACTACAAAAGTTTCAACACATCCCTGCAAATTAAACGTCACAGTGTGGGAATGGTCCTGTGTCACAGGACTGAAACACTGACAAACACTGAGACTGATCTGTCATCAAATGATCCGTCTGATCTGGTAATTTTATTAACTAGAAGAGTAAAGTCATGCTACAGTAAACACGAGATCTACGTTAAAATGTCACGATCATGGGGTTTTGGTAATGATGAACACACATTTGGGTTTTTTTTTTTAATGATTTGTGCGTTTGTTTTTTCTTCACATCTTTCTCAACAGTAGTGGATAGTTGATGTATGCTGTGTGTTGTAGACAAAATTAGATTATATGTAGATTATTTATTATATAATAAACATATATTAAATATGATTTGATTCTATGATTTGATTCTATTCATTAAACCATTAATCCAGCATGTTTTATGTTCCTTTTAATATCAAATACAAACAACCTGGACTGTCAACAATGGCTTACATGCAATTACATCATCTGTCATTGTTTTTGAATAACTGCTTTTACAAGTTACATAACCAAGGTACAGACGTTTGTCTGATTTGTTCCGGGAAGTCGTTGATTCGATTAGCAAGAAGAGCACAGTCACGTGTCTCTACCTGCTGCAGAACAGCGCCTCTGCGTGGCCACAGAGCAACCAGCGTTGTTCGGTTTCTGCATCTCTACAAAATGTACAAACAGAGACAATGTCTGAATGACATAGAGCAGTGAGTAGTAATGGTGTTGTACAGTACTTGTCTGGTGTGACAAATACTATAACTACATCAACAGAGCATCTTAAACTACCACATTCTATCTATATGGTTCTGTCTTACCGTATGATTTTTTTTTCTAACCAAGAACCAAACTCAGGCACTCCCTGAAGCCCCCCACAGGGACACAATCATCTCTGTTGCTCTGTGTGGTAACTTTCTGGAAAATGTTCATCCAACATTTCAGTTGATTCGATTAGCAAGTTAAAAATAAGGTTGCAAAGAAACAAAATACATTTGGCACGTTTAAATAAAAATCACAAAATGTTAAACAAGTTTTAAGAAACCTTAAAAATAAGGTTGCAAAGAAACAAAATACATTTGGCACGTTTAAATAAAAATCACAAAATGCTTCATTAGACTGGCACAGAGAAATAGATTGATAGGTAGATAGCTAGATAGATAGATAGATAGATAGCTAGATAGATAGATAGATAGATAGAAAGATAGATAGATAGATAGAACGATAGATGGATAGATAGATAGATAGATAGATGGATAGATAGATAGATTGAAGAATGACCTTGAAACTGTAAACAGCTGCTGTTTTTTTTTAATGTATGACATTCTCCTCGGGTATTAAACCGCCGACTGAGTTTCGTTGCATACATAAATGTTACTTGGCCTGACTCTTCTGTGGCTCCTGTCTGGCACTTTGGGACACAGTCTGCAGCTTTTGGGTATGAACTCCTGACAGGCTTCTCTGAACTTTCTGATCCTCCAGCAATAGATAACGGGGTTGAAGACTGTCTTCAGGTAGCTGAGCCATAAAGCTGCGATGCTGATGGGGTAGAAGACTGAGCTGTAGTAGAACTGTCTGCTGAAGACGGCCAACAGACTGACCACTGTATGAGGCAACCAGCACACGGAAAAGCCAACAAAGAGGATGAGGATGGTTGTAAAGGCTCTGGTCTTGAAGCTCATATCCACCTTGACCTGAGGAGGGCGCTGTAGGCCATTTAGCCTCATTTTGCTGACTTGGTTGAGAGCCGGCAGACAGGAGTGCTCACTGGTGTGGTTGTGGATGCGGAGGGTGTTGTGGCGCACCGTGTTCAGGATGCACATGTAGGAGTACAACATGACAGTAAATGGAACAAAGAACACAGCAACTGCCAACAGCACCGTGTATGCACGGTCTGCCGTTGACTCACTGTAGCCAAGCACACACTGTGGTGCCCAGGAGCCACCAATACCAGCTGCACCTGTCCTCCAACCCACCACTGAAGGCAGGGACACGAGCAAACTTAACACCCAGGAACCAGCAATGAGTATCTTAGCTCTGTGTGGGGTTAGCTTGTCCTGCCGCTGAACAATGATGAGGAATCGGTCCACGCTGATGATGAGCAAGATGGACACGCCCTCCAGGACAAACAGCCAGTACAGCATGATGGCAGCTCGGCAGAAACCACTCCCAAAGCTCCAGTCAGAAGTGGCGACAGTGACGGCGGTGAAGGGCATGCAGAGCACAGACAGCATGATGTCTGAAAAGGCCAACGTGGCCAGCAGGAGATTGATAGCAGAACGCATGGCAGGTTTCTGGTAAACTATCAGACACACAATGGCATTTCCAAGAAAACCGATGGTAATCATAAAAATCATTATGGCTGCCAGAGTGACACGGAGAGTCACCGATGCCAGAACAGTCGTAGATTCTGACGGCAGACTTTCCTCTGGCTCCATGAAGTCACATTTCTCCAACAGGCTTTCATTACAGAAGGCCATGGCTGCAAAGATCTCAGAGGATTTCAACCCAGAACAAGAAAAAGAGTCTACATGGCTGATTATTAATGTGGCGTGGACAGGCTGTGGTATCTCTGCTGCTGGTCCTCCATGGTGACATCTAAGGCACAAAAACACCAACATTTAGCATACATTAACCATGAAATATACTCTACAGGGATCATATACTCTAAATTCTAGTCCAAGGTTTTCTGCAAAGCGTTTTCTGGTTTTACTTGGTCATTTGTTTCTTCTTTATTCATGTTTGGGCTTGTAGAATCACACAGGGCAACTCCCTTCGAATCTAATCTAATCTGAACTAATCTCTCCTAAATGCCATATGAACATCATTTCACAGCATAAAAAGTGTTTGCATTAATGTGTCAGAGAGTCTCACGTTCCAAAGGTGTCTTTTTAAACATCAGAAATAGAAGCTGAGATCAGTTACTCAGCAACACGTGTAAATACCATTGCCACACCCAAGGACAATGAAACACGCAAGTGTGAGGTTCCGCAGCCTCAGTGTGGTTAATGTTTAACAGCTGAGTTTCATGAAATTCATGTACACACTGACTCACACACACAAAAGATTACACACCCAAGGTGAAGTCCTCCGCCTTCAGTTGGACTTCAGAATTGAAAACAGTCTTGATTAAACCCGGAGGCATATTCATGAAACAAATGTCAGCAGGTGTCCATTTCTCCTCCTGGTGGATGGAAAAGGAATAGTCAGCAATTTAATTTCATCTTCAAGAAACCTAATCCGTCCAGTTTCCCTCGATGTAACTATTTTTAAGAACCTACACACACTGTCTACTATCGTATGTACCACAACTAATTATTATTACGTTGTTCGGAAAGTCTGTATTAAACACGTGCCCTTGAAGCAGTAGGTTGGAGACCCCTGGTTCAGCCATATCATACCTTGTGTTTATGTATAACAGATAAGATTCATGTGGCCCCTTTGTGGTGCTACTGAAATGAAACTATGACATGTCTATGAAGATTCTCAGTCATCCAGCTCATGGTCAAGGTTGAAGAGTCTGTTAGGCAACTGGACGAAGAGGCTCTTTCTGAAGACGCCTCTTGGATGAGAGGCGAAATGTCTTCTTGAGAAAATCTCATGTCCAGTTTCCTAACAGACTCTTTGACCTTGACCGTGACCTGGATGACTGAGAATCTTCATGGACATGTACCAAGATTAGCTCAGACATATTTAACACTAAGAAGAAGTTAATAATTACTAGCACTAAAAAACACTTCAGGTTTAGACAATTGCTCCAAAACACATATTTGTTCATATTGACCTGATATTCAAGTCACAAACCTTCGCAACCCAAGTCGATAGACATTATTCGTAAACTCCTGGGAAACGTGATGCGAGACTACCCAAAAAAACCCAAACGTGATGCGAGACTACCCAAAAAAAAAACATCTTGCAACCCACCTGAGGGTCGCAACCCAGTCTTTGGGAAACAATGTGCCAAGCCATTCAAACAATTCAATCTTTTTAAATAGACATAAATAATTGCAGGACTGTCACAGGCCCCTATATTGTCAGTTTGTGTGTGCGGTTCTCATCACTGTGGATTGTTACTGAGCCACAGGAAAGGTAACATTATAACTACTGGATCACTTCGAGTCTACATGACAACCACATGACAATCTATCTTAAATGTGATCTCTTCAGTCGCTGCAGCCACATTCTAACACAAAATCCCTCACAGGCTAGTAAATAGCATGGCTGGTGGTTGCCAAGGTAACAAGGTCATCACTGCCATGGAAACAAGCAGCATATACTCTCATCACCCGTGCAAACTGTCCTAACCAAACATTTCGTCTAAAATGGTCTGACAAAAGATGAGGAATACAAAGTATTTTGATACACTCTGCTTGAACTTTTTTTTTCTAATAAAACTACATACTAGTGATAAAGTTGAATACAGTAAAGGTAGAGAAATAATCCATCGAGGTGGGAGCATTAGCAGACGTCAGTTTCACCTCACATCAAACAAAAGCGTGGCTACACCCTGGGAGTGAGACAGGAAATTGAACAGACCCATGTTGACAATCTATAGTGAGAGGGGAGTGTCATGTGAATGCACATTAATGGACCATATTTTAAAGTACAGTTTGCAGGCCCTGGATTAGGTAACCTGGTCAACAATGTCAAAAACATCTCTGTTTTCACTCATATACTGTATACACTCATCAATTTGTTGAACCCAAGATTTTTCATGATTTGATAGTGATGAATATTTAGGTTTATATCCCGGAAGATGATCATCATTTAAATGACAGTAAAGATCAATGACAATGATCAGAGGCGACAATGATAAGTGACAGTAAGACTGCCAGGTTCACAGTCAAATATTTGAAAATAATCATTTCGAGTCTAAAGTGATCTGTTGGAGGCACATTCTGGAAAGAATTCTGAGTGCTGGGAAATCACATCGTGATCTAGATTCAGTCAGACGATTACGACATCGTTGCCACTCAGTCACAGCCTTCAGTGGCATGAATGTTCACTTTAAACCAATATCTATTTCTATATATTTCTTAAAATGTAAATATATTTAAACATCAGACATCCGTTTCACACCTCTCTCTCTCTCTCTGTCTGTCTGTGTCTCTCGCTCTCTCACTCTTACTCAGGCGCGCGCGCGCGCGCGCACGTATGTCCATAAAGAAATAATTTCAGATTTTGGACACGGAATCATACACATCTCCATCTATCTTTTCCGTCCGCACTAAAACAGAACAGACCTTGTGAACAGACAACAGACCAGTCTTACCGTCAGTCATTGGCTCCAGCAGGTTCTAAGTTCTATTCTCGTCTGTGGTATGTGGAGGTTTCCTCTGTGTCTGCGTTCACCAACATCGCCAGGATTTTCTTAAAATATCCCACTTTGAACGTTTTGCTGCCGTAAATCGATTGCAGCATTTGCCTTCAGCAGATGACGCTGCTGACGCCACGAGAGCAGGTGGTCCCCAGAATTAAAGGAGCAGCGTATGTAAAATAAAATAAAATAAAATAAAATAAAATAAAATAAAATAAAATAAAATAAAATAAAATAAAATAAAATAAAATAAAATAAAATAAAATAATCTACAGTGTACATTTTAATCCCCTAAAATCACGTGACAAGGCAAAAATAATTTAAAAAAATGCTGACACTTGCAGGCAGGTGTTTTGGGGTCATTTGATTTTTTTTGCTTTTTTCCATCCATTGTTGAAATATTTTTCTTTTCTTTCTTTTGCACTACAGTGATTATAAAGATAAAGTTGTAGCAGGCATGCTGTTGGGGGACTTACATTAACATTAATCCAATACACTGTAACATTGCAACTCCATATAAAATACATCTTGTTTACAGATAACATACTTTACCTAGGACAGAAAATAAATTAATAATTCTCTAACATAAAAGCAACATGTCTGGTTTAGTATTTCAATTTAATGTATCCCCATGATGTGTATGCACATGTACACCATTGACATTAATCCAAAGTCTCTCACCGTGGAACTGCCAACATTTGTATGTGAAATATGTCTTTTGGTGGGATCCAAGCTGGTTGCAAAAATCTTACGCCATCTTTGTGTTTATGTAGCCTAGATTAGCCTAGATTTCTGACCAAATAGGCAAAAGATAGACAGTCATCCTGAAGGTCAATCATCCTTTATCGTTATTCATCATCGTCTACATTAACACATTTGTCCAGAAGATGGCAGCAAACAACCTCATGTCCACTTGGCCTCGGCGGTCAACCGTTACGTTCAAGTACGTGCTCGTGTTTTTATTTGTCTGGATTTAAGACTGAAGCCAGTTTTAAACGATTACATGTGAACGCACCACGAAGTAAAGTCTGGATAATTCAGTATGCAGTTTCTGAGATGAGCTCACTGCACGCAGTTTTATCTTATCGCGGATAAAATGTAATTAATTTGCGGGTGATCATGGAACTGTTGTGTTCTCCATCTTCACACACACGCAGCGTCTTCACAGATCCCGTACCCAGGCTGAGATTCGCCTTCATGGGCCTGCACTGTATGCTTGTCTAAATTGGCATCATGCCCATGTGTTGAACATGCCCGTCAAAGCAGTTCCACTCCAGCGGTCTGGCACATGCATGCTCCTCACGTTCACACACACACACACACACACACAAAGCTCCACGGTGAGAAATTTCATTTCCCTGTCCATTGTTCTGCAGATGTTTGCTTTCAATCCCCTCTAATGGAGAAACTCTTGTACTTCATCCTTTACCAAAAAGGTGCAAATAATAATTTTCGGAGGAGAGAACACACAATTTAAAACGACTGTGTTACATCAGGACGGAATGAAAGTCAAATATTTCATTATTTGTGATATTAAAGCCTAATCAAAAGCACTTCCAGGGTGTTCTATTCCGTCACACCACTGCCTCTGACTCTAGGTAGGAGCTATTCCGTCACACCACTGCCTCTGACTCCAGGTAGGAGCCGCGCGCGTGTGTGTGTGTGTGAGTCTCACGAGTTCCTTTTCACACTGAGAAAACCCGTAACGTGTTAATCAGTGTTAGACTTTAGCCGTTAACCAGTCTCCCCAAGGTGAAAATAATTAACAGCAAACCCTGGAAACCGATAATGTGCAAACCACGTTGAAATAGTTGTGGATGAAAACTTTGCTGTTGTTGAATATTGAACAGATGCAGGTGTGTGTGTGTGTGCGAGACTGAACTTTAAGACACAAACAGCAATGATTATAAACAGGGTTTATCGGGGCATAATTGCTGATGTAAAGTGCCTCTGAAGGAGCTTTAAGAACAATTACGGGCCATTATATTAGCAGTTGTTGTGGGAGGATGTAATAGCAACTTTAATGGGTGACTACCAACAGTTCCCGTCCCATTGATGCAAGAAACAATTACAGCTACTGTAACATACTAGTGCATAAAAACACCATATGGCTCAAGAAGCTGGAGAGCAGGGGGTGGTTTGAATTGCCCCATCATAGTATCTTATAGGGCTGAGAGACATGCTGCATGTCAGGTAGCATTTTCTTAGTACCAAGTTAGAATGAACTAACAATTAACTTGACGATCTAGACCAGGGGTGTCAAACTGAAGGCCTGGGGGCCACATCAGCAATACGGTTCCCCTTGAAGGGCCGGTTGTAAATGGAAGACTGTATAGATCAGGGTTGCTCCAACCACCAGTACCAGTCCATGGGACATTTGGTACCAGACACAGTGAAAAAATATACTTTATTTTTTACTAATTTACTTCATTCAAAGAAAATCCATTCATATCTATTTACTTTCTTTATTGAAAAATAATCTGGCAGGAGTTCAAAATAAAAGTCATTCAGACTCTGGTACAAACAGAATAGAGTCTAGTAGATGTTTTATTTTGACATTTTAATGATCGTTCAATGCTCAGTACCTTGGTACCAGTCTGTAGTAACAGGTGGTACTGGCTGACCAGTTCTTGGAACAAAAAAGGTTAGGAAGCGCTGCTATAGATGTAACTACTCCATAACAGACTAATACATGTTTCTGCAATTGTTTATTATTTATTCAAGCTACAAATATTGTTCATTGCTGTGTAATAAAAAAAACCGTTTAATTTCTTAGGTTAAGAAGCTCCGCTGCATGGACTTTACTAAATGAATTTTAAGCTCCCACGGACCACACAAAACGGCCTTGTGGGCCATATTTGGCCCCCGGGCCTGAGTTTGACACGTACGATCTAGAACTTTATAAGTCAATAGTAGAATCTCCTGGGATATGGTATCCAGAACACTACAGTTACTACAGTGGTGAAGTATTTTAGCTTCCTCAGAACTCAGGAACATCATCAGTACAAAATGAGGGCAAAATGTCTATTCTCATTGAACAAAGGGAATGCAGTTGATAATAAGGGTGGTGTCCCCCACTGTGACACCTTTAAAGAAAATATTGAAACTGCAATTTATTTTCATACTGCACCCCCACTACAAAGTCCTCCCCCCCTTTAAGAGCCTGCCCCCCACTTTGAGAACCGGTGTGCTACACAGTGATGTTTATGGGTTAGCACACGTATGAAAAGCATAGGTTTCTTCACATGTCTCACATACACTGTAGACCAGCGTGGAGGTGTAGTTGTTCCATCCTTGGTGGGATAAACCGCTCTGTTTACGTCAAACTGTGTGGTTGACTTAGCTGCCGTATCATCATGGGCTCATACGCCTTCATATTCCAGCATTGATATTCACAGGCACATCCAACATCACGTAACGACGGAACCCTTGAAAGGGATTTTTTATCTCCCCCAATCCCAACCTTATCTCCCATCTTTACATGGCTTAGCTTTGAGGGGATCACACTGCAATTCTGGAAGCTTAGATTCTGTCATCTTTTTTTATTTTATGAGTGAGCTTTTTTTTTACTTGATGGAATTGGAAATCCATCATGTACATACATACTAAAATATTATAATTCATAATACCTGTATAAGTTAAGATTACAGTTGAGAAAAAGCTCATCATAATAAAGAAAAAAAATAGAGAAGGATTTTCTCAGAACATGTTGCTGTGTAGCAAAAAAAATATCACAAAAAATAGCAGACAAAAATGAACTGCCAGTTAAAGTGAATCAGATTTAACAAGAACCAATAAAAACAACAGCCTGACACCGGCCACATCTTTTTAACTATAGTTTAAACACGAGGATCAGTGCTAATGTTGGATGGTGTGTGACGTTGCAAAACTAGAAAAAACAAATGTAGCAGCACTGACGATGTGTCTAACTGCATCCCTGGAAGTATTTTTAATCCAAAAAGTCCTGGAATTTTCTCATCTCCCACGTTACAGTCAGCCATCAAAGTGACCTTGTCACATCCTCTTGTTTCCTTTCAGCTTCTCCAATGTTTGAAGATTTACCTGAGGTGACGACAGATGTAAAAGCCGACGTGGAAGAGACTCAGTCAAACCCACTGTTCATTTGCAGGAACTGCTATTTATAACCACCGGGCCAAAGTTTTCCTAAAATCCTGCCAATGTTCAGCAAAGGCACGCACAAACTCCCTCTCTCTCCCTTCTCTCTCTCTCTCACACACACTCCCCCACACACAGATCCTGTCATGTTAGTGTTGAATGCCTACCTGTGTTTAAATGAAGGGGAGAGAGATCCATAAAAACAGTGCAAACGTGATTCACTTGTGTCCGAGTTTCAGTGGCTTGTTTTCATAGCACCGGGAGCCAGATGCACTCATGCAGATTCTAACGTCCGTGCGGTTACGCATTAACTTCCAGGTTTATGTGTCAGGATTTCAGCAGCTACTGTGGCTGACCAGATGATCTTTGACACGTCACTCCCTGTTTCTTTGGAACAAAAGTTTCTGCTCCGACACCCAGAATGATTATCAGTCTGACCTTTGACTCCAGCTCGTTGAGAAATGTTCTCATTGACGCGTGTTTTGAAGATGGGCTTAAAATATCGACATACAACAACATACAGTATAATGTGCCCGTCTTCCTTTACTGATGTACCTCAAGGAAATCAAAAAGTCAGGAGGTGCTGAGATCACCCCCTGCTGGATCACATGATAACGTCAGACGGTCTAAGTTGACTTGTTTCTCTTCTACAGTTTGATTCTTTTCGTAAGGTCACAGCAGTAGTGACAAAGACAGGTTACTCCCTGGACAGAATCACCAGTTACAACCATTCACACTCAGATTCACACATGAGGTCAACTCAGAGTGAACTATTAACCTCGTCCATCATGTCCGTGGACTGTGGAGGAAAACTGAAGAACCTGCATGGAGAAAACCATGGAGCGATCAAGTGCCTCCACATAGACCGATTTTTATTTCACAAATGCAGCTGTTCTATGTTTTTTGAGGTTTTTTTTTTGTTTGATTAAAGGTGAAAAATTAAAAGAAAAAAAAGTCAGACTTCTTAGCCATGGAATTTCATTTTTGCAGACACATTATGAAAAAAGGAACAGAGAAACTGGAAGAAGTGGGAAAATGATTTTCTGCTATAGAAAATAATTCAGCTACAACATAGCTGTCTGGTTTCTTTTTTTTTAATGTTTTGGTCTGTTTTACTTTTCGATTCTTTCTTTTGTTATAACACAATTGTTTTTGTGCCGTTATATTACGTTAAAGCTGAAGACTACAGTTATTGTACAACATCAAATACCTGTTCACATATTTGTTTATTGTTTTAGCTGGGCAGGTTTTCTGCTACTTGTAAATCTTAATTTTTTATTTTATTTTATTTTTTTTCAGATTTGTACATCCTAGGATGATGCTTTACATAACACAGAGATGCTGCACACCTTAAGAAATAAAAGGTGGGTTTGTGTGAATCATCAGCCGTGATAACAACAGTCGACTTCAGTGTCGGTCTGATGAAAATGTTAGGGGTCAGAGTTACGACCTCAGGTCAGGCCGGTTTTAGCTAACACAGACTGGTCCGAATAATAAACACTCATAATAATCATCAACAAATTCACATCCACAAGTGTTAGTCAACACCGAGGGACTTTCAAAGTGATTAATAACTTGTTTGGACTTTCCTGTGATTTGTCATAATATCAAACAAACAGCAAAGCTTGACACAAAGAAAGAAAAGCAGGAAAAGACGGAGAAAAGTGTAAAGAAATTTAGTTCTTGTTGAACTTAATACTAAAAAAAAATCGTACTGAACGTGTTGACGCTAACCAAACGACAGCAGGTAAATATTTAAGTAGTAATGGTTTACTCCACTGTTTAGGACATTATTCATGAAGGTCAAAGTATGTCCTAAAACATGACGTCCAAATGTTGCTTATCAGAGGGAAACTCAGGCAAACTTTTTTAAAATTTAAAATGTTTGAAATATCTCCGGATATAAAATACATTATAAATCTGTAAAAATAGGTTAACCATTTGACCTCTCTTTGTGTGTGTGTGTGTGTGTGTGTGTGTTATAAATGTCTCCACACAGATTCTCTTCCCCCCCTTTTCAGATTTATTTAAATTATTCCTTGTTCCAGCGAAAATAAACACAGTAAGGGGATAACGGGCAAAAATAAATAATCCAAATGACCACACAGGAATACACAGCAGATTTACTTCTACATTAACTTATGCAGGGATTTTGGTTATATAACGTCCAAATAAAATTGAATAAAAACAGCTTTATATGAAGAAACACTGGAGTTGACTTCTTTTTTTTTTAACTGCGTAATAACATAAATCCACATACACAACAGAGAAGTGGAAAAAACACCTCGAACAGAAAGATCAGTTATTGCTCATCATAGAAAAAAACAACCTAGAACACGGTCAATCAATGTCTCTCACTTTTATAAAATACAATGTAGAGCTCAGACATAAATCTGCAGCATCAGGGGGACAGTTGACTTTGGACTGTACACAGTTGTCCACTTTAAGAGTGTGTGTGAAATTGTACTTTTTGTGACTTTTGGTGTGGGATTTAGGTTTAAATGACTGGGGATAAAAAATGATGTTTTCCCTTCAGATTTAGCTGATTTGTAGTGCAGAAAGAAGTCGGCGTGGTGCATAACAGGGACATTTTCTGTGGAGAACAACAGACATGTGCACTGAAGAAGAAAACAGACGAGAAACACACGGGAGAGTTTAGTGGGGATCGGTCATATAAATGAAAACCTTTCAAATGAAAGTTTATCAACGGTAAACTGCTTTGATGAAATGTATCTTTCTTTGTTAGTTTGACTGATCTGAACAGAATTTGGTGTCATCGGCCGAACTATTTTTCCGAGTTTGTCCAACTTATTTCTTTGAATTCTACTCAGGGACAACTTTGTCGAACTATGTCCGGACGCTGCGCTGATGTAAATATTTAAAGTCGTTTTCACGTGTCGCTGTACATCCTCTTGCAGTCTATAGATGGAGACGGAGTGTCTGGACCCATGCTGCCCACCTGTGAGTACGCGTCCTCCGGGGTCCGGCCGACTCCAGGCGGCGTCATGCGCTTCTCTTTCTGCCTGCGGTTGCAGAACCAGACCCGGACCACTTCCTTCTCCAGCTGCAGAGTGTCCGCCAGAGAGTTGATCTCCTGCGCGGAGGGTTTGGGACACTTGAGGAAGTGGCTCTCCAACGCACCCTTGACGCTCACTTCGATGGACGTGCGCTTTTTCCTCTTCCTGCCCTGCGTCGCGATCTTATCGATGCTGGTGGGACTCCCCGTGGTGGAGTCGGCTTCCTCCAGCCATTTGTTGAGCAAGGGCTTCAGCTTGCACATGTTCTTGAAGCTCAGCTGGAGAGCCTCGAACCTGCAGATCGTGGTCTGGGAGAAGACGTTGCCGTACAGGGTGCCGAGAGCCAGACCCACGTCCGCCTGCGTGAAGCCCAACTTGATGCGTCGCTGTTTGAACTGTTTGGCAAAATGTTCCAGGTCGTCGGAGGTCGGAGTGTCCTCGTCCGAGTGAGGCTCTTGGTTGACGCCGTGGTGCTGGTGAAGGTGTGACTGGTGACTGTGATGGTGCTGGTGGTGGTGGTGAGGATGGTGCTGATGATGAGGATGATGCGGACTGCCGTGGTCCAGCTCCGGAGACTGTCCTCGCACCAATCCCGGGTGCATGAGGCTCTGTCCGGCGTGTGAGCTGAGCATGCCGTTAACGGTGAAGCCTCCCGTCTGGGAGTAGATGCGGCTCTGCTGCTGCTGCTGCTGCTGCGCCGCGGGGATGCTGGTGTGGGGTGGCCCGGCGCCTCCTCCCCCC